AGGGAGATTAACACTTAACATGACTCTTTACATGTTTTCTTCCCATCATTCTCCTATCTTCCTCCCAGTGCCTTCCTCAGCATATCTCATTAGCTTATGTTTGCTCGGTACCTGCTCAATGACTTCGCATTGTTTATACCCTTTTATCTATTGTCTCTCTTAATAACTTGTTATTACCCTTTTTATCTATTGTCTCTCTTAATAACTTGTTATTACCCTTTTTATCTATTGTCTCTCTTAATAACTTGTTATTACCCTTTTTATCTATTGTCTCTCTTAATAACTTGTTATTACCCTTTTTATCTATTGTCTCTCTTAATAACTTGTTATTACCCTTTTTATCTATTGTCTCTCTTAATAACTTGTTATTACCCTTTTTATCTATTGTCTCTCTTAATCTCTTGTTATTACCCCTTTTATCTATTGTCTCTCTTAATCACTTGTTATTACCCCTTTTATCTATTGTCTCTCTTAATAACTTGTTATTACCCTTTTATCTATTGTCTCTCTTAATCTCTTGTTATTACCCCTTTTATCTATTGTCCCTCTTAATCACTTGTTATTACCCCTTTTATCTATTGTCCCTCTTAATCACTTGTTATTACCCCTTTTATCTATTGTCTCTCTTAATCACTTGTTATTACCCCTTTTATCTATTGTCTCTCTTAATCACTTGTTATTACCCCTTTTATCTATTGTCTCTCTTAATCACTTGTTATTACCCCTTTTATCTATTGTCTCTCTTAATCACTTGTTATTACCCCTTTTATCTATTGTCTCTCTTAATCTCTATATTGTTTCTTGTTGGTATATATTTTGTTATGTTTTATTCTCTTGCCATTACATCTGATGATGACACGTGTATATTGTGTTGAAACGTTATGTGCCCAACCATATTAAAGAAGTTTGTTATATTCCATAATATTGTCTTGTGTTTTTGTTATATGTGCTCCTCGCTTCTATATCTTATATCAAAAATCAATAGTTTTATACCAGTTGTGGAACCAGTCCACTGATTCGCGGCAACTTCAATGAGATACACTCATTACACTGACCCACAACTTTGATCTGTTAGAGACTGTAGCAATAGGTGAACTCTGTCAGGCCCGCTCGTAATCTTCAATGGGTTGTTTGGTATCTGTCGATTTGTACGGACAATTTGCGGGGGAACTAGCCAAAATGTTCCTGGGTACTCATTCACACTTACTCTAGTTTAGTTAACAGCGAGTTACCGCCGCAAATGCAATTTTTGACTCCTTTTATAATCTATAGTAATTAACTGGGATAAACCGGGGAACAAACGATTATTGCCAATGATTACCTGGTTCGTAAAATTCACTTACCGTTTCAAAACTAGTATTGAGACATTGATTATAAGCTATTTTATTATCCCATATATACACTTAATTTCTCAATGATTCCATTATAGAAGGTGAATAATACAGTGCTTGGAATATTAGGTTGTAACATTGCAGTTAATAGATATTCGCATTCTATTTGTTTCAGTTTTTGAAAGCATTATAGATGTAATTTCCATATGTAATCCCATTTTTAAGCATGATACTAATGTTTTATTATTGGTATTGTTTATTTGTTACGCTCAGATAAGTAGTTGATAACCTGATAAATTGCATGATTGTATACCAATAATGGTGAAAAATTCTTAAAATCTAACTAAGATTGAATCCAGCAGAGGTTTTGAAAGGAAAACTCCCTCTACTAACATATTGGAAAAAGCAAAATGTTCAATGAAACTCATAAATATTGTTGAACACTGGACGAAGGGATTAAGTCTATTCTTTCATGAAGCTGGCACACTCTTATTAGGTAATAGAATAGGTATGTCATATAACAATTTGAACAACTGATATCTTCTCTTACTGGTTGATCAGCTAGGCATAGAGTGGTAGACAAAAGCATCATTTTGTCTTTCACATGTTATTGGCAGATTTTCTAATGCTGAGATTGTCTTTTGTGATATTTGATTGTTTTATATTTTATAAATATTCCCACAGTTAAGAGATCGTTAACTATATATTTTTTGACCGGATCAGATATAGTTGGCCAATTATTTTCTAAACTCACACAACTATCTCCTCCTGGATCAAACTTATGATTTTCAACTTGTCCTCTGATAGTTAGATCACTTGTCATGTTCTCAATAGATAGTTGGCAGTCTACATCACAGTAGTGTATGTTTGAATTCCCTTCAATTGGTTGGTCCAGATATAGACATATCATATCGCCCAGTCTCTTCACAGTTATACTCCATGTTACACCATTTATGACTGGATACTCATGACTGTCATAAAAGTCAAAATCTTTAACAGATACAACTATTTCAGCATAGCCTGTAATTGGTTTGTTTGGTTGCGAAAATGAAGTTAGAACTGTTGATTGTGAGACAGCTATGTTTGCAAGAATTTTAGACGTTGCCGTTTTTGCAGGATCTGATGGTTTTGTTTCCAGCACTGGTTCATTCATGTCTCTTTCAATTTTCATTGGTTCATCCAGACCCCTATCCTTTTCTGAAGAATTTGAATGCTGGTATTTGGATTGGTCATTGAGATTTTTGCAATCATATTCAAGTTCATCTGGATAAAGCAAACAATCAGTTTCTGAAGAGAGTGTGGATTGTTCTTGTTCATCTTTATGGTCTGTTAACAATTCTTCAAAACCTGTCACCATCAGTGGACTCTGTATTGGTAGCAAAATGCCAATGATATCCATATCAATTTTGTTTTGGCTCTCCACAAAACTTAAACAAGAAATATCTGGAAGTGATATTTTGGAATGGATGCTTTCTTTTGAAGACGATTTTGTATAATCTTCAAGATCTGCCATTGTTTCTATAATTTTCACTGTTTTCTGATGTTTCAGGGATTTTTCCATTTCTCTCACTTTTTGAGTCATATTGGTATTAATCATTTCAACTTCTTTACGTAACATTTTCACTTTCTGTTTGTTAATGTCTAAATTCTCTTCTATACTTTGGACAACATTGGCTCCCATATCTTTGATGATGGCACAAAGATTTTCTACATGTCTCTGTACATCCTTGATAGTGTGTGCTGCGAAATCATTCAGTTCACATAATTTATCTTCCAAAATTGTCTGAAAAATTTGAAATTCTTCTACTTTGGCTTCCATATTTTCTTTTCTTCTTATAAAATCTTCTACAATTTGGTTTGTTGACTCGTCACATTCTAAGTCAAGAAAGGTATGATTATTGTGGTTTCGTAAAATACATTTAGAACACAATGCAGTCTTACAATCTTTACAGTATGAATCTGCTTGTATTTGGGAATGATTCTTACACAATACTTTATCTGATCTCTGATTGGCAGGTTTTTCAATGTAGAAGTTTGTTGTAAAATTGGCTACTCCACCTTCAGGAATTTTACTTCTCTTATTACACAATGGACATTTAATAAAGATTCTTGATGAGTTATGATCTACTAGATTTTCTAAACAATTGAGACAGAATGTATGATGACAATCTATGAGTTTCGGCTTAGTGAATGGACCTAAACAAACACTACATTCATAAAGATCTTGGTCCATGTTCATTTTTACACCAGAATATAGAACCACCACAAATCATATAACACGTTAAGTCATGACTGTTCCAAAACTAAAATCCAACCCGAAATATTGTAGAGTTGATAGTTGTTTTAGTTTATTTTCAAGAGAATTGATTTTTATACTATGATCACAAATGTTTTTATTAAAATCAGGAGTTTACTGTCTTACTAGTGATGATTTATGGTTGTTGTATTTTTCAACCATTGTTGTTGATTCCACAAAGTTACACTCCAATCTTGTTTACTTCTGTTTTATTTAATTTTCCTTCTGTAAATGTGGTAAAATACATAAAGACTTAGTGTTCACTTTTAATTTACATGTATTTACAACAATTTAGTACTTTAAGTTCAATCTACATCCTGAATGATATAATACAGTAGCTGTATGGTCTACTTGTAGCTTATAGCCTTGACCTATACACAGTGTACTATATAGAATGGAGAGCAATTCAAGTGAAAAAATCAAATCAAATGTATTCGATATGCATGAGCAGAAGTGTATTTTGGCAGTATTAGTTGCAATAGAAATAAACTGAAATGAATATCAACAAATGCGTCATGAAGTGATATTGTTGTGTAAATGTGGCAGATTTATACCTTTAATGATAAATACATTTTGAAATTTTAAGTTGTAATATTAAAATAATTCTATGTGAAAAGTACATGTATTTCAAATTGTTATAAATGTATAAATTGATCTAAAGATTTAATTATGTAAACATCATGTAGACAGTTTCATAAAAAGAACAAATATTTACAATCAAATATGACTGGATAATCCAGACAGTAAACAGCCTTTGAAAACATTTGAAATCTAAATTGTATTGAAATTAAGCCATTTATGTTGATGAAAATGTTGACTCATAACTCACACGTAATGATAAGCTCAAGTTAAATTTTAAAAAAGTTTGAATAATATGCAAATTTTTGCTGTACCAAATAATAGAGTTGAATTTTTGCTATTCAGAATTATTTCAAACAATTTAAACAAAAATTAACTAAAACGAAATGAAATGGAGTTTTACGTCCTACTTTTCTCCACCATATGGGGTTCTTTGAAGGAAATTTTGCCAGGACAGCAGCAATTGCATGCCCTTTTTCGAATTTCAACTGTTGAGAGATCTTTAACGAGCATAGCCTGTAGCACATGGCCTTGGTTTATTGTCCAATCCAAACGACTAGACACATTTTCCATGTTAGCCCCTCTTACCGGCATCACTGACAGGGGGAAACAGGGTTGAAAATTAGTGTTGAAACGGTTAGTGAATTTTACGAACCAGGTAATCGTTGGCAATAACTGTTTGTTACCCAGTTAATTCTGGTTAATTACTAAAGATTATAAAAGGAGTCAAAAACCACATTTGCGGCGGTAACTCGCCGTTAACTAAACTAGATTAAGTGTAGATGAGTACCCAGGAAGATGTTGGCTAGTTCCCTGCGAATTGTCGGTACAAATCAACAGATACTAAACAACCCATTGAAGCGTCTGCTTCAATATAAGCTTCAATATAAGATTACGTGCGGGCCTGACAGAATTCAGACGGACTAGCGCCATTGTCACTCATTGCTATATTCTCTAACAGATCAAAGGTTTTTATCCCAATTGTGGTGTCAGTGTAATGAGTGTATCTCATTGAAGTCGCCGCGAATCGGTGTACTGGTTCCACAACTGGTATAAAACTATTGTCTCAATAAATCCGTACTCATTAATATTAATAAGCTTGAAGCTGATTGACAGGCAAGAAGAAACAAACAGCCAGCCAGAGTTAATAAAAAGTAAACTTTATAACTGTTTTATTCTAAGCAACTCGTTCCCAATAATAACAAAACTTTCTCTCTTTTTACTTCTTATAAATAAAATTGACGATAACCGATTATCTCAAATCAGACTCGGTTACCCGTGAAATACTACCCGAAATCGGTTAACTGATTAACGTTTCAACGCTATTGAAAATCCAAAAGTTTTATCTCGACTTATGTCGGAATTGAACCATGGACCTTCAGGTTAACAAGCAAGCATCTTACTCACTGAGCCACCACAGCTAAAGGCGAGGATTTCCTGGAATGTTTTTGTTGAACATCAATTCTGATTCTGATAAATATTACAGATATCTGAAACTCAGCACTATCAACTGCTAAAGCAGACATTAAGACAACCATGTCCTTTTGATTAAGGACAATAATTAAACTAATCATTTAATATTTACAGAACAGTGTATTAAAAGGGGGCAATTATTTCAATATACAAATGTTCCTTAAGCTGTTAGTAACATGGTAGGAAAATATCTTGTAAATTTTTTTTTACCGTAAATATCAATTTTTTTTAATTTCAGTCCTCATGGTCATTATTTTGTATCTGGTGGTCATGATAGAACAGCTAGGCTCTGGTCAACAGACCACTATCAACCTATGAGAATATTTTCTGGCCATTTATCAGATGTAGATGTAAGTAAAAACAATTCAACTCTCAAAGCACATTTGACAACTGACAACTGAAAAATAACAACTACAAAATTTCCTGGTCCATTGATAGCAGAGCTAAAGCCTACACAAAAAAAACAAACAATGTAACCTGTGTATAACTGAAAAGCTTGCCATCATTAATGCCCCTAAGTACACTTCTTCAAACAAACGTTACGAATTTGTCTCATAGTGTAGACATGAAAATAAGTTCTACCTGTCTAACTTCAGTAAAGACACAGGCTGAAAATTAGGTCAGTTGTCTGAAGATCGCATAGCATGAAACAACATGTTTTTTTTAGGTTCTGTTTTGATATTTCTAATAATAATGATATATATTTATTTCAGTGTGTACAGTTCCATCCTAATTCTAACTATATAGCTACTGGTTCTAGTGATCGCACTGTTAGATTATGGGATGTTCTTAGTGGTCAGTCAGTCAGAATCTTTACTGGACATAAGGTAAGATATGGAGCTTCTTTGCGATTTGCTGAAATCATACCCCTCGAGAACGAAAACTGTGGTACAAGCAGATGGAGGTCACACAAAATGATTAATATTCAGAGGGGAATCAATACCTATTCTGAATCAAATTTGTTTTTGTCCATATCTATTGCTGTGAAAGAGAGACCGGGGGACACGGCTCTAATTTCAAAACACCTTGTATATTTTATTACGCCCACATGGAATTATGGGCATATATTGCCGTCGCCCCTGTCCGTCTGTCCACATTTCTTGTATGCACAATAGAGGCTACAGCTTTAATTTGATCTTGATGAAACGTGGTATGCAGTTTATATTGATGAGTCAAGTTCGAATTGGTAATAATTGGATGAACGGTTTCCGAATTATTGCCCTTGGCGTAGTAAAAACGCGTTAAATTTGGCTTGTATGCTGATAAAGGCTGCAATTTTTTTCTGATCTTGATTAAACTTAGTATGTATGTATATATTGATGTGATTTTGGTCAATTTCGAAATTATTGATAATTGGATGAATGATTTCAGTGTTATTGCCCTTGACTTAGTAAAAACGCTTCAAATTTTTCATGTAGTCATGATATAGGGTGCAGTTTTTATCTGATCTCAATGAAACTTGGTATGGATGTATATATCGATGAGATCTCAAGTTAAAAAATGGTAATAATTGGATGAATGGTTTTTGAGCTATGGTCCTTGAATTAATTCAATGCGTCTAATTTGGCTTGTAGGCCTGATAGAGGATACATTTTGTATTCGCTTTTTGATGAAACTTGGAAATTAGTAACAATGGGAAGATTGGTTTCACATATTAAAACTACCATTTCTGAGAGCTGGTAGTGGGCATATGTTACCTTGCCTGGCAAGCTATCTTTGTGTTCTTTATTAAATTGGTTTGTGAACAATTACACCCATAGATTTTGTGTTATTTTGGCTGGTAAAAGATTAGTCTTGAATATAATATTCATCTGATCTATTACAGGCTCCTATACATAGCTTATGTTTCTCACCAGACGGCAAATACTTAGTCTCCTCAGGTTAGTTTTTAGAGTTACTTCCAATACTTGAAGCGAAGAAACTTGAACTATTGTCAGTGTCTCTTCTGCAAAGTGAATACGGTAACCATCTTAAGGTTTGTAACATACCGAGTTGTCATCTCAATTTAATGTTGAAATGTATATGGATGAAAATAAAAATCAGTGCAGAAATGTTATTTTTTTTCAAAGTGATATATGATTTTTCTATGTAGGTGTAGATCAGATTATTAATATGTGGGAACTAGCAACAGGAAGTTTGGTAGCTCAGATGAAAGGACATACTAACACTGTATATAGTTTGGCTTTCAGTCGAGATGGTGCTATATTATCCTCTGGTATGTATATTTTATATACATCCTTATTTTTGATTTTACTTTTAAAACACTATATACTGTTTCACTGGACAGCAGGATTTTTGCAATGGTAACATTGCTCAGGTCATGTTTTGGCTTTCCCCCAAAATCAAATTTATAGAAATTAATTGCGTTAAATTTGAATAAAGACTCATTTTTATACGACCACATGAAATGGGGGGCGTATGTTGCCGTCAACCATGTCCGTCGGTCCGTCCGTCCACAATTGCTCGTAAACACTCTACAAGGCACAATTCTTGACTGATTTAGATGAAACTGAGTATGGTTGTTTTTAATCACCCAAGGATGAACCCTATTGAAAATCAGAAAAATCGAAAAATATTTAGTACGGTATGAGTTATTGCCCTTGTTCTTGAAACGCTGGTAAACACTCTAGAAGGTGCAATTGATGACGGATTTTGATGAAACTTGGTGTGAGTGTTTGTTATCACCCAAGGATGAACCCTATTTAAAATCAGAAAGATCGAAAAATAATTAGTATGCGTTAATGCCCTTGTTCTTGAAAACGCGTTCAATTTTAGCTTGTAAACACTCTAGAAGGCACGATTCTTGATGGATTTTAACGAAACTTGGTGTGACTGTTGGTTATCACCCATGGATAAATCCTATTGAAAATCAGAGAAATCGAAAAATATTTAGTATGAGTTATTGCCCTTGTTCTTGAAAACGTGTTCAATTTTTAGTTTGTAAACACTTTAGAAGGCACAATTCTTGACAGATTTTGACGAAACTTGGCATGAGTGTTGGTTATCACCCATGGATAAACCCTATCGAAAATCAGAAAAATCGAAAAATAGTTAGTTTGAGTTATTGCCCTTGTTCTTGAAAACGATTTCAAATTTTAGCTTGTAAACAGTACACTCTAGAAGGCACAATTCTTGAAGGATTTTAACGAAACTTGGCTTGAGTGTTTGTTATCACCCAAGGATAAAGCCTATTGAAAATAAGAAAAACTAGAACCGTTATAACGGTACCGAAGCAGTGCCCATTCAACCTGATACATCGATACAACGTTGCATTTTAAAGTCACAATGGGATTTCTTACCTGAAAGAAAAGCATGTAAACGTTCAATAGTAGAAAAAGTCGTTTAAACCGTTTACAGTTCGGTAGTGAAAGGTGATAACATTCGGTAGTAAAAAGTCGAATTTTCAAATAGCTGTAAAGTTAAAAGTTCAATTCGCACAACAAAAATGAAAATATTTTTGGAAAGGTACTATAATTTGTGTTTCGGCCAAGAGGTCAACAGAGGTCAAATAAAAGAGAATATAAGCCTTAAAAGTGTTGAAAATTGCTGTTTTGGGACGTTTGTAAAAGTGAAAATATATGTCGGACATCAAAGATAAAAGTATGAATGGACATCGTAGATCAATAACCTTTGACCCTCTAAAGACCAAGATTATGCATGTAAATGGTCAAAATATCAAAATCTTATAAATTGTAAATCCTATTCCCTTTTTTAAAGTAAAAGGCCTAAACAAAATGTAACTCTATCAGATATTGTCCCAAATAGTGCTTTAATTTTTTGTAAAATTTCGATGGTGAAAAATGCAAACTTTTCGAGTTATAACAATTTGAATTATTTAAGGTAAAGGTAAAAGTAACCCGGATTTGCCACGCCCACTGCAAAAATTTTGTGTTGTCTGTAATAATGTGTACAATGTCAAATAATGTTCAAAATTTCAAGTGTTTACAATCATTAGATCATGAGATATTCGTAGTTAAAAGTTTTTTTAAGGCAACGGTGACTGTCGGTGGATTATAGAAACCGTTAAAATTACGCAAAGTTACTATAGAAGTCAATACAAAATTTTTAAATTCAATTTTAATCAAAATACCAAGTGTTATATAACATTTGAAAGAATAGATTGCGTGTAATAAGGACAAAAGATAAATTTTCGCTTATGTAAATTAGGTCACGTGATAGATCTTTTTTTAAGTTAAATATCGCGATTTTCAATTGGCTGTAGAACCGGAAGTTAACGGAGCACGACAAAAGTGAAAATATTATCGGATATATCTCGTAATGGGCAACAACCTTTGTTCAGGTCAAAAGGTCAACAAAGGTTAAATAAAAGTAATATGAGCCTTTGAAGTTTCGAAAATTGCTGTTTTCGGACGTCTGTAAAACCGGAAGTATATGTTGCACATCAAAAATTAAAGTAAGAATGGTCATCTTAGATCAATGACCTTTGACCATGCAAAGGTCAAGGTCATTTAGGTTAAAATTCAAAAATGAAAATTTTTAAAATTGTTAAACCTGTTCCCTTTTTTAAAGTAAAGAACGCAAACAACTGTAATCTTATCACAAATTGTCCTAAGCAGTGATCTACTTTCATGCAAAATTTCTAGGATGACAATTGCAAACTTTGCGAGTTATAACAATTGCAAATATTTCAGGTAAAGGTAAATGCCCACCGGATGTGCCACGCCCACTTTAAAAATTAATTCTGTGATGATGTCTACATTGTTTAATAATGTTCAAAATTTCAAGTCTTTACAATCATTAGATCATGAGATATTCGTAGTTAAACTTTTTTTTAGGGCAACGGTGACTGTCGGTAAATTATAGACACCGTGATTTTACGCACAGTTACTATAGAAGTCAGTACAAAATTTTCAATTTTTAAAACACGCAATCTTGATCAAAATTTTAAGTGTGATATATCGCCAAAAAGGAGAGATCATGCACTCTAAGAATATATAAGAAATTTTGTTATATGTTAATTAGGTCACGTGACAGAGCTCTTCAAAGTTAAAAATCACGATTTTCAAATTGCTGTAGAACCGGAAGTTAACAATGCACAACAAAAGTGAAGATATTATCGGATATATCTCGTAAGGGGCAAAAACTTTTGTCCAGGTCAAAAGGTCAACAAATGTCAAATAAAAGTAATATGAGCCTTTGAAGTTTCGAAAATTGCTGTTTTCGGACGTCTGCAAAACCGGAAGTATATATCGGACATCAAAGATCAAAGTAAGAATGGTCATCCTTAGTCAATGACCTTTGACCATGCAAAGGTCAAGGTCATTCATGTTAAAGATCAAAAATGAAAATTTATAAAATTGTTAAACCTATTCCCTTTTTTAAAGTAAAGAATGCAAACAACTGTAATCTTATCACAAATTGTCCTAAGCAGTGATCTATTTTCATGCAAAATTTCTAGGGTGACAATTGAAAACTATGAGAGTTATAACAATTGCAAATATTTCAGGTAAAGGCAAATGCACACCGGATGTGCCACGCCCACTTCAAAAATTTTAATTTGTGTGTGATGATGTGTACATTGTTAAATAATGTTCAAAATTTCAAGTCTTTACAATCATAAGATCATGAGATATTCGTAGTTAAACTTTTTTTTAGGGCAACGGTGACTGTTGGTAAATTATAGACACCGTGATTTTACGCACAGTTACTATAGAAGTCAGTACAAAATTTTCGATTTTTAAAACACGCAATTTTGATCAAAATATCAAGTGTGATGTATCACCAAAAAGGAGATTTTATGCACTCAAAGAATATATAAGAATTTTTGTCGTATGTTAATTAGGTCACGTGACAGAGGTGTTCAAAGTTAAAAATCATGATTTTCCAATGGCTGTAGAATCGGAAGTTAACGATGCACAACAAAAGTGAGGATATCATCGGATATATCTCGTATGGGGCAACAACTTTTGTTCAGGTCACAAGGTCACCAAAGGTCAAAGTCACTAGATATGAGCCTTAATATTTTTGACAATTACTGAAAACATAAAACCGGAAATAAAAAAAATACAAATCCAAAATTCAAAAATTGGCTTCCTAAGTTTTGTTAGCAATCGATTGCAGATTCTTTAGACACCAAAATCACACAAATCAGATTTACCCCTGAAGCTTAATATCGATTTTTACAAAAATTGGTCACATCAAGATGGCTTCTAACACATTACTTCCGGTTCAAATTTTTTCATTCCAAAATTGTTATAGGGACAATTTTAACTAATTTCAAAAAGAATTTTTCAAATACCTACAAAATTCCGGAAATTGAAATTTCAAGTTTAGAGGTGAATGACATCAAAACCGGAAGTGATATCGAAATTTTGAAAATAGATTTTTGTCAGGAATCAAAATGCTTATCTACTATTAAATTTTTAGACCGATTGAAATAAAATTGTAGATGTTGAAAAAAACGCTAAAATTAAAACAAAAAAAGTCAGCGACAAAAGTCAAAATCTGAAATTTTATAAAGTGCTATCTTTTAGTCATTGGTTTAAAGTAATGAACAAAACAAAATTACGGTCAAAATACATTCAGAATTAGAGCAGTAATTCGAAATACGTAATGAATGGTTAACGTCATATGTCATTTCCGGTTGGAAGAAAATGCGTCATTTTACATTTAAACAGTAGCGACACGCAATTATAAGAAATAATAATGTCAGACAATGTGTGACATGTGCAGTTTTGGCTGGGGAGCGTGACCAGAAGTAGACAAAAAAAAAAACAAAAAAAAATAGTCATTTGCAAAACAATGCAGTGCGTTCGAAGAACGCATAGCAATCAAAAAATATTTAGTATGAGTCATTGCCCTTGTTCTTGAAAACTCGTTCAATTTGTAGCAAGTAAAAGCTCTAGAAGGCATGATTCTTGACGGATTTTGACAAAACTTGGTTTTATTATTCAGTACCGCGCTGAAATTGAATATTTGTCTTCTAGAGTTTTCACGAGCTAAAGATTGAACACGTTTTCAAGAACTAGGGCAATAACTCATACTCAATATTATTCAGTATCGCCCTAAAGAGTTCAAAAGAAATGTATGACTGAAGGTTGAATATTTCATACTGGTGATTGTTACTGTACTGCTAAATATTTCTATTCAAAATTAAAGCTGCCAGTGGGCGTATATTACCTGGCAAGCTATCTTGCTGTTTAATTTTCTCTTTTTTGTTTATGCTGAAGTTAACTTATTTTTGATAAGCATTATGTATTAGTGAGTGAGAGTAATAAGTTATGTTTATTGTACAGGAGGATTAGATAATACTGTAAGAACATGGGATATTAATAAGATATATGAAGATATAGATACTGATGTAGATGCTAGTATACCTAGTACATTACAGATGTAAGTACTGTTGTTGTCCTTACTTTTTCTGCAACAACTGGATTTTATGTTACCCAAGCAAAGAAATGTTTATGTTGACCATTGTGTTTTTCATTTGTATTCTCAAAATCAATCCACTAAATCGTTATAATCTATTTTTTTCATTCAATAAATAATTATATTTTTAAAAAATTCCATAAAAAGTGAAGAGAAATATTCATTTGCATTCAATCTTAAAGGGACAGGTGCATGACTTTTTGACCCATCATACTTAAATCTTTTAGCCAATCAGTAATTGTGTTCACAGCTCACCATAGATATTTGAGCCTTCAAATCCATGTGTGTCCAGAATTATCTGCATTTGAAAGTTAAAAAAAAAATTCGGGAGACAATGTCATGTATAGATATAGGCAAAGAAATTCCTAGTTTGAGATATTTTTGAAGGAATTATGCAATTTCCATACATTTATAGTGCTTCTGAAGAGTTTTTACATATATTCAAGACTCAAATCAACCCCCCAAATCGTTCATCTGTCTCTTTGAGAAAGGTGCATCTGTCAGTCCTATCAAATCATAGACACAGATCGCTGTAAGAATTTTATGAACTGTTTCAAACACATGTACTAACCATGAAATTATCATTACTGTTTTTCAGAGTTGATGGATCCAATCTGTTACTAGGTACTTATCATACTAAAGCTAGTCCAGTATTAGCTTTACAATTTACTCGTAAAAACTTACTCTTAGCTGGTGGAGCTTTTGTTGTATGTTGATGCTCTGTGAATTGATGACAATGAGTTGCTTGTGGGGCTTTCCCAAGTTTTATTTGAAGTTTGATAATGAAAGGATGGTGATAGGATCAAATTATCTGCTCTTACCTGAAGGAGCTTTTACAGCTTATGGATGCTTGAGTATGAAGCTCAAATGTCTGCTTTTGATGGAGCTGACATGTGAAATATGAACATCATAATCTTGTGATGCAGAGAAAAAATAAACCAATCCTTCTTTGTTATTTATATGGAAAAAAAAGGCTATAAGTGCATGAAGAATTATGTAATCTTACTATTAATATGTGAACTGAATATTCAGAAATTCAGCAATGGATGGATTTTAGGGCCAAGTAACCACAGGAATTGTAATAATGTACACAAAGATTCATTTTGATTAGTGTTTAAGTAAACATGTGAAGATATTGAGAAAGAAATGTATAAATCAGTAATTAAACAGTGGAAAAAAAGTGAATACATTTGTTTATATTTTCTATTCCTTTACCAAACCCCGGTCCATCACAGTTTGACAACTTCTTGTATATTTAACTCATACTTGGTATGTATGTATATATTTATTCAGGAAAGTTCAGGAGTATTTTGAGGCAATGAGATTTATTGATGAGTCGTTCCCAGAAAGAGTGCTGGATCATACTTACAGAGTTACAGAATCAAGGCAAAACCAATCGATAAAACATAAAGTTAATGTTCAAATGATGAGATAATAGAGTTATTGCCTATATTTGCTGAATACTCTATTTCTATTGTCTTTTGTAATGAAAATAGATATGTGGATAATTCTGACCGAATTTGATTTAACACCAATTAGTAATTTATTCAATGCATCTTCAAAGTATATGATTTTTAATTTGAAAAGTGATAAGTGTACTTTAACTGAAAACTATTAGGAGTATTGAAGTGATTTCATCCCTTTCAGAAAGCCATCGAATATAATTAGAATTAGAGACTGGAGACCTACAAACAAAATATAATAACGAAACGAAATTGTAATATAATTTTAATTAGATTGAAAGCCATCCTAATCACATCTGATGTCGGTGCCATTATTAGTTTAGATTATTCCATTTCCACACTTAACAGCTCTTTGATAATCGCCCCCAATCCATTTGGTATCGTGTTTCAATCTGTCGGCTGTGAAGGCTAGCTGAATAGTTCTAGACCTAACTCTGAAAGACCCATACCAAGTCAATGTTTGATATTTATTTCTCTACATAGTTCTCTTCACTATTTGGCATCGATGCTTCAATGCCCGGATGTCGAAATTTTCGACCTCCCACCCCCCTCAAAAAAAAGTCATTTCACTTTGGAAACGGCATCATGACAAGTACATGTATGATATTACCGACCTGTTATTTACTGTTTCATTCAGGGAAATGGGTCTCATCCACTACAACAAATATTGCAGAAACATTTGCCTTTCCCAATTGGTTTGTGATATGTGCTAAACCCTCTCATGAGAGATGCCGACAACACTGCAAATATATAGACCATCACCATGTCAAACATCAGGATATTGTCAAACACTCCAGAATGGTTGGTGTTAAAAGACCTTTCTGGATGCAGGTCATCCTCAAGGTTCTCTCTGCCATGCTTGAATTCTGCCTGTCCACTTCTTTACGATAGTAAAGTATATGAACGACTTTCCCATCGTAGGAGTCAGATAAGATCAGATTGTTTGGACTACAAGGAGTGTGTTGATAAAACGGTCTTAATTATCTAAAGTTTCTTCTATTAACCTCTCATTATACAAGTCAGTTTAAAAACTAAAATTGTTATTCATTTTGCACGTTGGGTACTTAACACCTCCTTTCAAAATATTCTCAATATTTTAAACAACCAAACCCGTCCTTTAATCCTTCTTAAGCTTTTTACCAAATATTTTGTCACTTCTGTTGTAGAATTTGAAGGTGTTTCCAGTTAACGATACTGTTATATTTTTTTTAGTCAATTTGTCGAATTCAGAAAGTACTACTCCGGAGGTAAGCTCATATTGATATTTTTTGGGTACTATATCTGCGATCTTAGGAAAGTTTGAAATTTACTGGAAACTGTACATCGGAATGATATATTTGTGGATTGTTCATCTGATTAATGTGATACATTTCGTTTTGGTCTAGATCATATTATGACACAATAGACAACAAATTTTGCTTTTCAGTCTTAGCTGGTTTGCTTCAGCTTTCGATATTTCATAAAACTACATATTTGGCTATTTGGCTTTGTTGACGTTCTATGATCCCTTACGAGTACGGCTATGAGTATATTTGGATAGCTTAAACAAAACAAAAAACAAATACCAATAATTTTATACTGAACTACGCCTATACCTTGACTGCATTAACCACCTTTCTTGTATTGCCGAACGAATTAATTTGATTGGCCTTTAAGCTAGTGAATACAGCCTATCGGAGCCGTCGACATAAAGACTAAACATTATGGCTCATCGGTTACAGATTTTCTGTTGGAAACTCTCATAAGCTGTATTCATCCTAATTAATTCGCTACATTGACAAACTCCCCTGATATAAGAAAAGAGCCCAATGAAGTCAAGATATAAGATGCAGTTCGGAATAGCTTGATGTTGTGAGGGTGTGGTTATTCATTCATCATTCATCATTCAATATTCGAACTTTCAGTTCGTTCTATGTCTACCATACATACCAATACCAATCTTCTGCGCAAACGTTTACTTTTGGTTGCGTCGGTTGGGGTTGTTAAGAAGTATTTTACAACTGTCGTAAGCTGTAAAACATGAGGCCCATTTACACGAGTTTACTGACCCAGGTTGCCTCCCAGAGTTCAAAACTGGGCAACCAAGACGTAGTTGTAGCCATCTATTAGCATAAACTGATGAACCCAGGTCGAATTGGAGTTCAACCCTAGTGAAGACTGGAGTGCGGCCCCGAAGTCGACTCTCAGAGTTTTCGACGTGTGAACAACTACCCCCCGGGCCGACCCTTGGTGGACCCGGTGATTTTGCTCTCGTGTAAACGGCCCTTCAGTATTTTGTATTCAACAACCATATATTTCGTTGACCGATATTTTTCATTATCTAAGTATTTCATTATCGAGTTGTGTTATTATTTCAAACGTTACTGTTTTGTCAGTAGAAAGTAAATACGAAATTTTTCCCGTTATTAGTTATTCACTAATGAAGCGCTATATTAATACATTTTTTCTTGTCTATAGTCTGATGACTGGACTTGTTGGCGTCTCAAGTTTGTCAAAAGATCCAATTTAAAAGGTTGACAAAGGACTTGGGGACACCAGTTTTAATCATTGACTCATTTTTACAATATTCGTGTTTGTGTCCAAATTTCTTTAAGTGACGTATTTGTCAAATGTTTTTCTATTTCTTCTGAAGAAAAGTACTTCCTTAAAACTTTATTATTTGTTTATAAATATATGTTAACATTTAAGAGGAGACATTTTCTTGTAAATATATTTTGTTTTCCCGATTTTTTAAAACTAATTAATGTCTTAATACTTATAGTTTTGTTCAAATTGCTCGTCAGCAATGGAGTTGTTTAAAGTTATATTACCCAGTATTCTGTTCTTCGGTTTATGGACAACTTTAGTTAGTTCGGGATCAGCACCATGTATCATGAGTACAGATTTTCTCGAAGAGGAACTAGATAAGGATAAATTCCAAGGAAAATGGTATATGACGTCTTGGTACTATCATGGTACCGGCAAGTCGGATGCACCACTACTAGAAAATGTTCAGTCGCTTTATCAACTCACAGATGATGGCAATTGGAACATTACCTATGGTAAGATGTCAATATCATTTAAAAGATATACCTCGCATTTAGCTATGGCATCCTATAAAAAAATTACTGACATAAGTCATCACGGTAAAAATATATCAAAATTAGAGTCGCACAAGGTTTTTTCCCTGAACAAATTATCTAGTTAGTCAAAATATGTTTTCTTGCCTTTTTGTGTGATTTCGGGAATTACTATATAGTCACCGGTGTAGCGCTGAAGCGAACCAAGATCAATTGCACATAGTACAACGATGGGGTATTTTGGATTTATATTTTAACATTTGTTTTTGCATCTGACATTCAATTGAAATATGCAGACTAGGTTTCAAAGGTTTTACAGTCAGTTTGTCATTATGTCGACTAACTGATAAAATACTAATACGTTATTTACCTACTAGGTGCGGGTATAATGGAAAACATGTGTTTTAAAAACCCAGTTGAAGCCATGATTGACAAGTCGTCCACAAGAATGATGTGGATCTTTAACTTTCACTTACACGAGATCGTATCAACCGACTACCAAACATACGCCGTTATTTATCAATGTCTAGATGGTATGACGTACTGTGTTCACGACAGTACTCAGATAGCCATACTAAGTCGTAAGCCACAACCGTCAGCAGAAACACAAGACGTTGTAAGGAAAGCTGTAAGGAATAGCTGTGTGGATCCGGACTTGTTGATAGAAGTGAGTCAGACTAAGAACTGTTTATGTGATGATGGTAAACAATATGGATTGACTGAGGCCTGTGATCTGTAATGTTGTATTTCTTTCTATAATAAGTTATATTTCAATTAAAGCTTTAAAATCTTCTTCTTATTGCTTTAAAATCCGGAAACCTGAAATTAAGATTTTTCGATATAAGACATTAGATTAAACAGAAATTTACGTCGCCACTATGTGCTTCTGAACACTAATGCAAGAAAGTGTGCTTTTCAGTACCGGTAACGTCAATTGTTTAACAGTGCTCGTATCACTTTCAGACATTGACAATGGATTGTAAAACATTATTCTACAGATGTAGGTTATACCCATGTTACTATCTTTTATAGTTCGTGAAAATTAATCCAAGTTATATTTTGTAAAGTAAAGAAAAAACATACTTACATACACACTTTCCACACTTAAATAATTTCCAACAATAGCATATCAATTGACAATACTTTAAAGGGATATAGTCGTTTAAATTTTTGTATTCATTTTTGATGTAAGTGGCGTTAATGTTCAATTTAAAGAAAATCGAATGTCGGGTTAATATTATGAAAAACTACCAAGAATTATATTAGCTGGTAATACAAATATCTATACGACTATACCCCAATATCTTCACCTAATGGCAAAAGGCAACAAAAATAAACATTTATTTTTATGCATTAGAAGAAAGAGAAGTGTTTATGACTGAATGCTCAGACTGTCTCTAGCATCAGATGAATTTCCCAATGCAATGAAGTTCGCACCAGCAAGTATTTGTATTGATTAGTGCAGTCCGAATCTTTAAGTGCAGTCTGTACGGTTAAGTGCATTTTGCATGTTGTAGTACAGGAAATCAACACAAACCATTACAACCTCGTCACGTTATGATACAGACTAGTCAACAACTAAAAAGAACTTACATGCGACAAGATGTAAGACGATCTGTTCAAGTGTTTTGTGTCCGGAAGAAAATGACTGTAAGTTGAGATAACGTTTAATTATTTTATATAATGAACTAATTCACAACTTACCCAAATAAAATATATATTATATTCGAAACACCTCAAATTTTCTGGACGAGAGAAAACTCTAACACTTTATTATCACAGATGCACAAACGAAACCGTAAAAGATTATCTTTCACGCCGAAATCGCTAGAAATTCATTTATATACAGTAGAAACTGTATAAAGAGACCACTCAAGGGAATACTTAAAAAACGGTCTCATCTCCGTGGTGGTCATTTTAAGTTCATGGGGGTGTAAATGAAGATGGTCGCTTATCGGTCGTTAATTATATTGAAAAGTCGTGGGGGGATTTATTGTGGTTGCATAATGAAAGTGGTCACTTATCAGTCATTAATTATATTGAAAAGTTATAGACTTTAATGTGGCTACTTAGTGAAGGATTCACTTCCAGATGCAAGCAGCATCCATGCACTGCTGATATTGCTAGTTGTGACAAACGTGCTGTTATAAACGATCAGTCGGGATTTGGTCCTCAGCAATACGTTGACAAAACCGATTGTAAGATCTTGATATTATCATGAAAAGAGTTTGCTTCATATAACAGGATTTGTGTTTAGATAAGTATTGATGTATCAGAAGACCATTAATTCCTATATTTTCAGCTATTTCAGTTAAAGAAATGATATTACCAAAGACAGTATTACAGAGACATCCTTAGTTAACGTATCTAATTATCTTAACTTTTAACTTGCATCTTGTTTTATCACGAATCTCTACTTTGTGCAGCGTTTTTTGAAACTCATTTCCCATCTCCATCTAACGCCATCTTAACAAATTAATGTTCTGTGGTGAATCCCTATGCCTGCCGCACTGCGTTCGAAAAACGAATGACAGGCTGGAAGGTGTGGATATATTTTAGATAAAATGCGGAACTGTTAGCAAGTGCGTCATTTTTTCGCAAAGATGCGAATAATAATTCGACATTGTGTCTGAAAAAAAATCATCTATTACCGTACGATTTTTGTTGTTCATTATGTAGGCACAGTCAACCAACTTCTGACTCAGTGGACATTCGTCTAGCATATCACATATTCTATGCCTCCTATAGCACCAACTGCATTAAGTTGGAGATTTAAGTCATTTCTCCCATGTACGGAAGTTTGTGGACTCAACAACAAAACTGTTCAAACAGGAATAAAGGTAGACTGAGGCGAATCCTATCTGTATAAGGATCTTAATGATAATAAAAATAATAATAGTTTATTTTTTAAAGACCATTACATTAAAATATCTCAACAGTCTTTACATTGACTAAAAAATGATTGAGCTATAATAATAATAATTTTTGTCATAATGTGACATGAGTTCAAACAATTTCTCTTATAATTATCCATCTTAATTAATATTATTTGTAAACATTTGTAAAAATCACAGTTTCCCTTTAAAAGAGTCATATGTACAAGGCGATCTTTTTTTTGTCTTGAGACTTTTCCATTGTTTACGTGCATATACTTTGCTCTGTCTGGCTCTGTCTTCACACCGTTTGCTATTTTTTTTCCCGTGAGCTTTGAAGGAGAATTTCGTCTCAACCGAGTTCTAAGTGCTATGAGGAGAAGTGTGAACTGTTATTAATTCAGAAAGGCAGCGCGGCACCGACTCGACATGAGGGATCAACATAAAAATAATACCGAAAATTTTGTGCAGAATCCACTGCTTCATCGGGAGCCAATGCAGCTAAAATAGTAGCGGCGTCACATCCTCGTGACAATGCAGCTTCCATCTGGTGACCAGCCGAGCAGCTGATTTCTATATATGCTGTATTTTCTTTATTTTGTAGTCAGGAAAGCCGAATAGGATATTGTTACAGTAATCTAGCTTAGATGTGACAAAGGCATGGACTAATTTTTCTGCTTTAGACTAGACCGAAAATTTGCGCACATATGTTTTACGTGCTCGTCCACGAGTCCGGAGGAGGCCAACATATCGCACAGTTGTTGGCGGAGATCTTGGATATGCGAATACCCGTACATTTTTCTTTAAAAACAAATTATATTTCACGAAGGGCTACAATAACAAAATCTATTTTAGAATATAGCATTCGAGACATTTTTCGAAACTAAACAAATTTGATACGGTTCACAAATCAGATTGTTAATAGAAAAATAAAAAACAATTTGGTCAATGAGCATTAAATGTAAATATTAAGTAACTATTGCCTCGCTTTGTTTAGATTTTATCATGTCTATAGCATTGATTGAAGCTACATTGTATATAATGGTAAGGCTTTTATTTACTCTTCATTTTCTATTGAACATTTCAATTCTTTCAAAAATAACAGGCTTGGCTTTGTACAGTAGAATGTTTGATGTTTATTTTAAGTAGTAAAGCTTTGTCTGTTTTTCGTTTGGCAATATTACAGATTAAACATTGTCAAAGCCTGATTTTCAATTTAAGGAAATAATATGTAGCTTAGAAATAGAATTTTCTCTAACGACGGATTTTGTCTTTTTTCAAACACTTAAAACGTATATTATATTATTGCTTGGACTTTTTTACGTTATTCATTGAATCATCACTGGATGAGATGGCGCATATGTGCAACCTATCTATTGTCCCCTATTTGACATAACTCATATTATCTGGCAGGGATATGTTTGGATATTTGGATCTAAATTTGCATTAAGTAGAAACATAAGCAAACAAGTTCACTGGAAGCAAGAAGTCCAGTTCATGAAGAACTAATTTTGATATGACATGAATATTAAAGTGAATGAGGCCGTTTACATGAATTCGGCAGTAAGTTATGTTTTGATTATTTAAAAGTGGAATTTTGAGTCTTTTTAACTGCCGAAAACACGACTTACTTTCGTTGTCTAGTCATTTTTATTAGCTCTCTTGCAGGTTATACTAAATTATAATAAAAAATATAATGAAATAATCATAAATCCAGACCATGAGAATTAATTTGAAAATTCAAAGGAAACATGAAACATGAAAAGTGAAACATTTGTCTTAATTGGCATCTCCATAACAGACCTTGTTCAAAATCTACTATTTCCACAGACGTGATATAGGGATGTGATTTCGTCACATCTAACCGTAACGAAATCTTATCTGTATAGTGCGTCTGATATTCATCACGTCTGAGAACGTGTACGGCCAGATTTGGTGAGCTAAAATAGAACAAGCTCACTCTTACGTCATAATTTTTCTATGAATAAATCAGCCCTACACTTGAAATTATGTTCTCTGCTACTATTTGAAGAGAATAATTAAAAGTCTGTTATATATTTATGTATATTTTAACATTAAGTCATAGTATAGCTTTGATCCAAATATCATGCAGTCCCATAGGACTAACTTCAATCAATAACTCTGATCCTGAAATTGGTACAATCCACATTTGTACCATGAAAATTACTACGATAATCCATCTTAAGAATTAGGTTTAGGTTTGTATGATGAAATCGGTTAAAGCGCGTGATTTATATATTCAGCCAATCACCCATAATCCATAATTATAAAATAACGTTGGATACAAAACACTAACAGTAAAAATTAGAATCAACATATTTATCCTACTTTAAAGAGATTCAAAGAGGTTTGCTTGTCTTTTGTGTGAATCGGGTTCACTTGTAGGTTTTTATTTTCACCATTCCGTTTTCACAACGCCCGTGATTCCTGAAATAATCAGAAATGGATGACCACAGAACGCCCAGATATCAACAAAGATATCGGTTGAGGGTGTGCATGGTTTCCTGGCAAGGTTCCCTTCTTTTATTATCATAGATGGTGTAGTGTTCATTTAGAAAATTTAGAAAGGTGGAATAAACCAATCTGATTATAAAAGTTGGAATACCCTAGGGTTAAAGTGAGGTAGTCATGGAAGTGGTGTGAACGAGAACAATATATTAACAATAAATGGTTAATTGTCCAGAAAACGACAATTTCTCTAATTAACGGACATGACACAATTGATTGTATGTGTGCATCCTATCATTTTAACACGACAAACCACTTCATACATGGTTGTCGAGTTTATCGGTTTGATAGCTGTATTCGATTTGAAATATTTTGCATAATATTATATGTGTTATAAGAACTGTTGGTTAGTTTTAACCTGCAAGTTTCTTAACATATTAATGTTTTATAAGGTAAGTTCTTTACCTTACTCTTAAGAGACACGATAGTCATGTATAATGAAATAGAAAACGAGTGGAAGTTGAAATATCTGTAATCACATTCTCGTCAAAATGTAAATTTGAATCTCATGAATTCAAAGTATCTGTAACCCTCGATTTGCTCAGCATAAACTAATCTTTTTTATTCATTGACCAATCAGACAACCGACTAAAAAAAGTAAGGAAATGTTTCATACAGTGGTATTTTTTTTATTGTAGTCGCAAAAAGGAAATTCATACCATCTAACAGTAGCTCATATAGTGCCATGTAGTGCAAGTGATTCTGGAAGCGATTTTTAACAGGAATGTCAGACTTTATATTTGTACAAAGATTAAAGTAGGTAAGTACACGTATATATTTGAAATTACAGTTTGACATTTCCTACGGAATAGATACATGTGCTTTTACCTAACATCCTATGGTAAAATCAGACATAATACAACACAAGGAGTTATTTGACGGTATTTAAACGGTGAACTGCTTTGTGGTTATGGTGCCTTCCGGGCTTTCCGTTTTAAATAATGACTCTTTTCAACATTGTTGATGTTAATATGTCCGGTTGTCTTAATTATTCCGGCATATTATCAATATTAACACATGTCGTATGACATGAATCCTTGTTGATAATTTAAAAAAATTGACAATAAGGAATACAATATGGTTGTTGCTCGATGGCTGCAATTTCTCAAGGGGAACGGAGGTAGAAGGTCGCGTGTTGACTGAATCTAAGAGCAACTGGGTTTTCAAAAGCTATTAACAACTGGGTTTTCAATAGCTATTAGCAACTGGGTTTTCAAAAGCTATTAGCAACTGGGTATTCAAAAGCTATTAGCAACTGGGTTTTCAATAGCTATTAGCAACTGGGTTTTAAAAAGGTATTAGCAACTGGGTTTTCAAAAGCTATTAGCAACTGGGTATTCAAAAGCTAGGGTTAGGGTTAGCAACTATTAGCTATTAGCAACTGGGTTTTAAAAAGGTATTAGCAACTGGGTTTTCAAAAGCTATTAGCAACTGGGTATTCAAAAGCTATTAGCAACTGGGTATTCAAAAGCTATTAGCAACTGGGTTTTCAATAGCTATTAGCAACTGGGTTTTAAAAAGGTATTAGCAACTGGGTTTTCAAAAGCTATTAGCAACTGGGTATTCAAAAGCTATTAGCAACTGGGTATTCAAAAGCTAGGGTTAGGGTTAGCAACTATTAGCTATTAGCAACTGGGTTTTAAAAAGGTATTAGCAACTGGGTTTTCAATAGCTATTAGCAACTGGGTTTTAAATAGCTATTAGCAATTGGGTTTTCAATAGTTATTAGCAATTGGGTTTTCAATAGCTATTAGCAACTGGGTTTTCAAAAGCTATTAGCAACTGGGTTTTCAAAAGCTATTAGCAACTGGGTTTTCAAAAGCTATTAGCAACTGGGTTTTCAATAGCTATTAGCACTTGGGGGCATATTGGCGATTCTGATCATCGCAATCACTATTGTCTGACTGTCTATTAATACCGAATTTTGACGGCCAATCTATCGATATGAGAATTTGGTTTATGCCAATTGCAACGATGCGATGCTTTGAATCGTCATTCAACTTGAGACTGTTTTCAATAGCTTGTTAAAACTTGATAAAACTCCCAAATTAATAACCATCATCATCAACATTCATTTTGAGTACTTCATTTACTTTATCCTATACAGACCTAGAAACAGTTTAAATCCTCCTCGCAATTATTAATAAAGGTCGATATTCATTGTCCATATCCATCCATTAAGGGTATATCATTTCATAATAGGCCTGAATGGTTCGAGTAGTTGTAGGTCTATATTTACTGTTCCTGAATACATAAAAAGAATTATAATAATTTGTTATAATATAATAAGTTTCCCTTCTCGCCGTGATATTCAAAACATTACGATAGTTCAATGAATTGCAGGTGAACCTGAGTCAATATTTCAATTATGAACAGTTTTAGGGCTACGGATATATGAAATTGGATTGCAAAGGCTCGTAAAGCATTAAGGCGATATCTATCACGTTATTCTATTTTGTAGATATCAACTGAAGTTTCAACTGAGCTTTAATATTGTTAAAAACTGATGTCTTACTTCTATTGTAGTTGTGATGACGACTGATGTAAATTGATCCAGTATTACATGGAAACTTTAAAACGACAGATTAAAGCTTAAGCATCGCTACTGATGGTGAAGTGAAAAAAACAGAAAAGTGTTTGCATAGAAAAGTATTTCTTGTATTTTTTGTGTTATCTTAAATAAATCTTGAACGTTGAATCGCAGATAGATGGCATGAGATGTTTTAGGTACTTGTAATGTTCCTGTCATACGTTGAACATGTTTCAATGATCAAAACAATTGAATTATTTTAGCTCAAAATAGTATCTATTTTTATCTGAATATGGCGGTTAATATAACCTACGATAATTGCAGCCTTGATTTAACGGAAGCGGAAATCCCAATTATCTTGGTGTTGACATTAATATTTAACTTGATTTCATTGGTCATTATAATTCGAATGAAATGTTTAACAGAAAGTATCGATCACTTGTTAGTGACGACCTTGACAATCAATGACCTGTTTTCAACTGTGGTGTATACCACAATGTGGTTAGGTGGTTGGATGACGTGTGGTGTTATGTTGCAGAATATATCCTGTGATATTATGGGATGGTTAGGAACTGTTACTGTTATGTACTCGGCTGGAATAATAGTGATTATGTCATCATGTAGATATTTAGCCTTAGTGCGACCTATCTTCTATCGGATGCAAGTGACTCTTAAAAGTGTTAAAATTGCATTAGTGACGCTGTTGCTTTATTTTGTGCTAGTGACCATATTTCCATTGTGTGGGATAACAACACCGTACTACTATTACAATTCCAACTTTGTGTGTGCCTATAACTTCACTCCTGGAGACGGTGCAATGTTCCATCGTGGTATTTTAGGCCTAATTGCTGTTTCTGGTATCGTAACAACATTGATTGTTCTCTTCTTTAACATTTCAATAATACGACAGGTAAGTACTAAAAGTTAAATCCGTTTTAAATTCTGTTATTTCTTTGTCATTGTTTTGTGTCCACTATATCGCTATAATAATACAAAAACACAATACACAAGGACATGGTTCTATCTAACATTCTGCCCAAAGGGAAGATACAATGAATTTTAAAATATATATATATGAATATGTGATTTCATGCTAGTCATCTAAATACAAATGCTTCTTCCAGAGTCATAAAACGTTTATTTAATGCCAGTTTTTACCATGAAAAATGGAAAATCTAAATGTCAAAATATATCAAGTGAGACATAATCTATTTTGATAGTAACGATACTTACTTGCTGTTTCAATTGTATATGCACTGAAGAAATGATTGTTATTTCCATTAGAGCTAAAATGCAAGAGTTTTTATACGCCCACATCTCTCTATGTGGACGTATATTGTCGGCACCCCTGTCCGTCCGTCGGTCCGTCCGTCCGTCAACATTTGCTTGTAAACGCTTTAAAAACTAGAATTTTTGAGGAATCAAATGAATTTCGGTATGTGTATACATATTGATAAAACGAAGATCAAGTTCGAATTTGAGCTATTTTCGACCGAAGCAGAGTTATTGCCCTCGCCCCAAAATCTTGAATATGCTATTACTCTCTTAGTTTTCAACTGATTTTGATGAAACTTAAAATGGATTTTTTTGGACCTAAATCGAAAGGTTTGAGAAAGATTAGTTTCCTTCTGATTAAATTTAAGGCTTTTTCAAGATTTAGGCCTCTTACATCAGTTTTGAGGAGTTATCGCCCTTTAACCTCTATACAGTAAGTGCTTCTATCAACATCAATTGCTCGTAAACACTCTAAAAACTAGAGTGTTCGAAGGAATGAAATGAAATTCGGTATGTGCATACATATTCATGAAACGAAGGTCTGCCGGTCGGTCGGTCCGTCCGTCCGTTAACATTTGCTTGTAAACGCTCTAAAAACTAGATTTTTTGATGGAATCAAATATAATTCGGTATGTGTAGACATATTCATAAAACGAAGATCAAGTTCGAATTTGAGCTATTTTCGACCGTTAGAAGCAGAGTTGTTGCCCTTGTCCCAAAATCTTGAAAATTTACCATCCGCATGCCGTGGTGGACGTATATGGCTGTTGTCCACTATCTTTAATTTCAAATTTATAGTGGAACATTATTATTTGACAAAGATAGGAAACGATTTTAAATGTTATTTTCTTCTATCCAGGGTTCCGTATATATTGGCTAATTTTATCGAAATATCTGCTGTTAATCGCGATATTCTGCTCTTATCCATAGAAAATATTTTGATATGCTAGATTGTTCAGTCAATTTGTTACTTTGTTAGCGTATCCTGTACAAAATACGCATAAGAATACCTTTCGCTTTTTGAACTACTACCGGAAAAGTAACTTTAAAATACTAAGGAAATGTAAAATGTTTTACGCTATATTAGTCATTTCAACCGGAAGGTTTTTATTATAAAAGCCTTTTTATTTATGAAAATTTGTTTGTAAGATTATGAAAATAATAAGTTAAGAATAAAGATTGTTTGAAGTATAGTAATTATATCTTTAAAATGTTTCGGCATCTGTCTTGACAATTTTTACTGAAAATCTCTGAAATTATTGAAAAACGAAAAAATTAAGCTTTCTATGCGTTAACTGTTAACGCTATGTCACGAATATTCCAATATAGGCGAGATACAGAGCTATATTTATAATGCCCAATAGACAATTGTAAGAAATGTATGTTATTGAAAGCAATGATACAAAACCATTTCATAGAAATTTTGTCAATGGAATTATTATTGGATAAATTGAACGAACCTATAGTCGTGTCGTCCATTACGAGTACATCATTTCACATAAATATATAGGCCTATAACAGCAAGTTAGTAAAACTGAGATAGCTTGTTATCGAATCATATCATGACACAGCAAAAAATGATGGAACCTTCTTTGGGTTCAACATTTTGAGAACCGACATGATCGGTATAGTTTTCTTTTTGATTTCTTAGGAGCTGAGATATGGCCTGAAAGTAAGAAGAGATTCCCAGAATGGCTTTGATCACCGGAAATTATCCTTATTGTCTCTATATGATCGGAATATTCCATTGTTTAGACTGATTTCAATGATATTTACGTGACCCATCATTAGAAATGTCGGTATAGCCTATTACTGAAGCTATCATTCATTTTTATGGTCAGTTGATCAACTAAATGGTTAATAAATCATGCTGTGATAGATAATAAAAATAAAAGTAACCACGAAATTGTTGTGCCAAACTCGCTATCAGATTGTGACATGATTTCAGTCAGCAACCATTTATCTAACATGTGCTAATATCACTATTTTCTTTAGAATCGTTATATCTTTGGACTCGACATAACAACAGTATTCATGGTCTTGATATCAACAGTCTAATATTCAGTTTAGTTTTACTGACATTAGTTGTCAGACACCTGTCAAACAAATAATGAACTTCATTGGTAAAATACCCTTTAACGCTATGGATAAGGATTATGATTCCATATAAGCCATCGTTTCGATTTCTCGGCAATTTTGTGAAATTAGACCAGATAATGATTGTCGCTTTCTTAGCATATTTTGTGAAAAAAGAAAAACGCGATGAGCGATTACCTAGCGATAGTAATAATTTTACAGACATCACGAACAGATTTCATTTCATATATTGCCATTACAAAACCTCGTTAGACTCATCTTTGGTTTTGATTATATTTGCTTCATTTCATTATTAATAAATATTAATACCAGTGTCCAATTACTATAGACCTAGATAATAGAAAACGGTGGCATCGGGGTGGCTCTATACATTTGGTAAAGATGTTCTTGTTCCAAAACTCGAACAAACAGAATAAAATGATATGCATCTTATTCATTTCTGAATTATCAATTATCTTTGTCAAAATCAACATTCAGCCAAGATAGTGACAAGGGACTGTGACTATTATTCTATTTCTAAATCCTCAGTCACGAGTCACGCATTACATGTGACTAAAAGCACAAAGGAAAGTAATCAATACTATCAATAAAAAAAAGTATATTCTTGCTTAAAGATCAATTCAAAAAATATATGATCTGGAAAATAAATTAAAATTGAAAAGGGCAATTAATGTTTATAATAAATATTAATTTACATCAAAGAAAGCGAAAATATAAGGACAACAATTCGAAATTAGTGGGATGATTGTTCCAGCCGATTTTCACAATCGATTTTCAGTACTAAAATAGCTTTGATCCACACTCTTAAAAGTGTTATTATTAACAACTATTTGAAAAATTCGATATGGTCGTCTAAATATTTGCCTTTCAAACTGATGATATTAAATACCACCTATCAGGCCTAATTATCAAACTCGCCATTCTGCCATTAACTCTGTAGGAGCATGGATAATGTTGTGACAATACAATTTATGTCTATAGTATTGCGCATATTCTTGGATTTTTAAACGTATTTTTAGATTTTCCCCTTGAAACTACTGTCATTTACGACAAAATCTATGAATTTTGACTTCTTCCGCGGGCTTTTACTTTGCTTATCTTCATGTTTATGCATTTAGATTCTTTTTGGGCTTTTCATGATCCATTTATACTTCATATTTCAGCTTCGTAAAACATCGAGCGTTGGTCATGCTGATTCTGCTAATAAAGGATCAGTCCTACAGTCTAAACGGTTAACTATTACTACTATTACACTGGTCGTATCATTGGTTTATTGTTTTACCTATGGTCCATTTTTGGTAAGTACTATATTATGTTTATGTTCATTAAAACACATACTAGTTATATTGATCTACTAACGATCCTTACAAATGATCGACACAAATGACGATATGATATGATGGTCAAATTTGCCAGCTCATAGAACTTCGGCTATGAGGTAGAAGAAAGTGGTAACTTTACCCCGACCAAAATGGATATACATATATATTCTGGCTGATCGATATATAGCTTATTAGGAGATAAACCAGCATTAAGCCGAGTATATCAGTTCAATGCTCAACTGCCAGGCCAAATATATTTGCTTTAGATTTTGTTTTCACTGTAGAAAACTAAGCTAGTGAAAACTATTACTGATAACGATTAAAACCAAGGTTTTATTACTAAAATTACTTGACTTAGCTTGTCGACTCGATATTCAAGAGAATCCACACAGCTGCTGATCATGTGGTATTTATTTGGTGTTTTATGTTTCAGATTCGAGTGTTGTTAGATGTTATTATAAATTCAGATGCTCAGGAAGACCTGTATCATTCTATCACTATGTCATTACTTTTCTTAAGCCCTCTTTTAAACCCTATTATTTATGTATTTTTAAATGCCAGACATAGACACTGCTTGTTACAATTACTCAAATCTGTTATATACAGACTGAGATGTAGGAAGATGCCAATTGAGGACAGAAATTCAGACACACTCCCTACAGCAAACCCTACTGGACACATCTAGACAATTACTATCGCCATAACAACTATTCAGCTTCAAGTAAATTGACTTTCAGAGTTGAGTATATCGACATCCAAAGTTTAATATATTGACATTTAGCGTTAGGTTTATTGACATTCAGAGTGAGTTTATTGACATTCAGAGTGAGTTTATTGACATTCAAAGTTGAGTATTTTGAGATCGTGAGAGTATATCGATATTCAGGCTGGGGTGCTAGAGTGTCGGAATCGAAACTATCGACATCGAAATTATAGGAGCAAATCGATGTCGATATCCAGATTTCAGAATGTCAACATAATTATTCAGGATGGATTCATCAAGTCACAAGGATATCGGCATTCAGACTGGACATCAAGAAAAGATGACATCCAAGACTAGAGAAAATCGACGTTGGTACCATCTAAACGACTAGATGCTAGTCCATATCAGCCTCTCCGACATTACTGCATCACTGATATTCTAATGTATACCTCGAACTATTTCGGTATCGAATTATGGACTGAGTTACGGCACAATGGTTTATGCTACAATTCTAAACTTTGTTGACAAAATAATTATGTGTTATCTAAAGTTATGTGTGTTATGTAAAGCTGTTAACAAGTCAAGTTAATATGCCTTATTAATAATAAGATTTTCCCGAATACTTCATTGTGAAATCAATGGTTTTATTACCTGATGAAATTGAGGGAGAAAAGAAAATATAGTGGTCCAGGTAATGATTCTACAGATTTGAGTTATCTCCCATGTATTTGAAAACTCTTATTTTCTGGTAAAGCTAATTTTGGACCCTATTTACATTCAAGATAGTTGAATGCTGATCACCAAGTAATCAAGATAACACACTAGAAAGATCTAGGACTCGGTACGAGTTTATGTTGTTTTTTCCTTGGTATTGTGGAAGTGAAAATAGTACAAAATTGAAGTGACACCTTAAAGGTGTCTGTGTCCCTTTTAAGAGTTGTTTACAAATGAAAAACAAAGCGTAGTAATTATACAAGTATTTTCAAGTAATTCCAAGCATACATAATGTGAAAGAATTCTATTCAGGAACTTCGGTATGGACTACATAATTAAACAAATTTTAAGAAATGATATTGAGGAGAATGCTGTCTTGAAATCACATCAACCGTCTAAAATAAACACATCGTCTACCCCCTGCCTTGCCTGGCATTCCTCCCTTCTAATTCTGTATTTATCACCAAGTTTTATATATTTTGATTCCGTTACTTTCTCATTAAACATCTGTTCTTATCGATATATAAATATAAATAAACTTTATAGCGGTAAATAAACAATGAAATGAAATTGACCTGCAGGCATTGCTTTATTTTCCAAACGAAATATTTCATTAGTATTCTATTTATCAACACCCCTGTTCTGCGTCATAGGCAAAATTAAAAACGATAGTGACGTATTTTCTCTGGAGCCACGGAATTTAGACCGGAATCGGTATGGTTCAAATAAACGCATAATACATAGCTAATACATAGTCCAGAATCTTTTGAAGTGGTTAAAAATAAGTGAATACACCTTAGATCATACGATTACTAATTTTAGAAACAGGTCAGATCTGTCATTATGCTAGGTCATATCTGTCAGTATACAAAAATATTTTCCTATAAAAACTATGTCTCATCCTCATAAATCAACCCAGTAATAACACAATCGTCTGGTATGTTCCGTCGAGGTATGATGGGTTTTCAAGACGTTGCATGCTGACGGTTATAGCAAAACAAACCTCATTATTATACTCGAACATAGTCAGCCAGAATCATAAATTCAAGATCTGGACCCCGTTTCATAAAACATGTTACGATCAATTTTGTAGTTAGTTTTGTATTTTTCATGTAAAATTCCACATTGTTTTTTTTTTGTGGAACGAGACCTGAAACTTTGTTCTGACTACAAAGAAAAGTTACAAAAGGAAACATGCAAGAATAATTGCCTTTCAATACAATTGCAGTATTATGTCTCGAAAGTGATATCAACATTTAACACATGAAAATTGTGCGACGTAAACTTTTTAACATTCATACGTTACAAAGGCAAAAAAAGCTTGAGATACCGCAAATAACGTCTACTCTGAATTAATGATTTTTCTATTGTCCCTGAGCTAATATAGTTTATTACGAATAAGAAGGTTAACGAGAATTGTCTATTCGTTTCCCAAATATCGTTTTTTCATTTATAGATATATGAGAGTCTGACATTTGCTAAGTTGTGAATAACTTTTGTCCATATTTATCTATCTAACGATGCTCTGGGATTTTATTTCAAGGGATTTTTAAACACAAATCTGTAATTGCATTACGTTTCAGACCGATAATTGAGGTGCACGTATATTTATTATCCAATGAAGTCCCGCGATTGTACACACTCGGGTATGATGCACACCAGTATACATTTAGTTCCAAATGCACACTTGTTAATAGAACACACTCGAGTATAAAATTCAACAATTAATAGTACACACTTGAGTATAATGGTCAACAATTAATAGTACGCACTGGAGTATAATGTTCAACAATTATTAGAACACACTCGGGTATAATGTTCAACAATTAATAGTACACACTGGAGTATAATGTTCAACAATTAATAGTACACACTGGAGTATAATGTTCAACAATTAATAGTACACACTGGAGTATATTGCGAATCAGTTAATAGTACACACTGGAGTATAATGTTCAACAATTGATAGTACACACTGGAGTATATTGCGAATCAGTTAATAGTACACACTGGAGTATAATGTTCAACAATTAATAGTACACACTGGAGTATAATGTTCAACAATTATTAGAACACACTCGAGTATAATGTTCAACAATTATTAGAACACACTCGAGTATAATGTTCAACAATTAATAGTACACACTCGAGTATAATAGTACACACTCGAGTATAATGTTCAACAATTAATAGTACACACTCGAGTATAATGTTCAACAATTAATAGTACACACTCGAGTATAATGTTCAACAATTAATAGTACACACTCGAGTATAATGTTCAACAATTAATAGTACACACTCGAGTATAATGTTCAACAATTATTAGAACACACTCGAGTATAATGTTCAACAATTAATAGTACACACTCGAGTATAATAGTACACACTCGAGTATAATGTTCAACAATTAATAGTACACACTCGAGTATAATGTTCAACAATTAATAGTACACACTTGGGTATAATGTTCAACAATTAATAGTACACACTTGGGTATAATGTTCAACAATTATTATAGTACACACTCGAGTAAAATAAACTCTTTAGTTTACATGGGTCAGAATTAGGCCCGATACACAAGGGCATGGTTTTGTCTGACATTTAGCCAATGGGGGCAATATCATGAATGCATGAAAAACCAAAAAACCTCGATGGACAACTTGTTTAACAAATACAGAAGTACATGTGTATTAAATGGACAGACTATGTTGCTGTAATTATGATGAATATACAAACACCACAACAACCCGCAAGCCAAAAGTCAGTGAGAGTGTTGCGAGTGAGCTACCTAACCCTACCCCATTTTTATTTTTCAATGGAGGAGGAGGGGGTAGTTATCCATGCTCAAGACAATCGAATCATCCAGGATATTGAACCATAACCGTTAGAGTCAAGATAACTATTAGTTAGCAGGTCTATTATTGGTCAAATCTAACGTTTGAAAGATACGACTGACAGGCACAGCATCTTCCAACCCAATAGTACACATCTAAGTATAATGCCCAGCGGTTACTTGTACACACTCGAGTATGAGTATCAGTGTATAGTATAGGGCTAGACAGCATGTTTTGTCTGTTTTTGATAAAAAGAGATTCTACTATGTGAAGTTATTACATTAATGACTAGATGCTAGATAGCATGATGCGACATAATTAAACAGGAATGTCCATGTTTCTTTCCCTTCTAGTCAGAATGGTCAATCTGGTTGCAAATAATGGCGTGTTACGATTTCACAATAACAGATATATTAGTGAAATTTATGAAAAAGATTAATTCCTCCCTTCTGCATGACTAAGTCAAAGACATTTGAACCCAAGATCATGCAAAACAGATTAAGAATATCGGCGGAGCAATCAACGAAATTGAAAAATAAAGCTTCCCTGGCTCATTGCGAACGGATATCAGAATCAAGATTGACCTGAAAATGACACAGGATTATGTGCCTTTTTGTATCGATTATATTATTTTACTAAACAGATATGTTGAGTATTATGGTATAAGACCTATGTGTTTATCTTTTGGTATTTTAATGGAACGTATTGTTTCTGTTCCTTTTTACAGTTCCATTGTTTTTAAAACAGTCGACAGTCGAACAGTCAAAACTATTAAGTTGTTCTCAATGTACCATCATATCAACAATTGGATTTTGATACACGATCAACCACTCTTCTACATTGTAGAAAGGTTTTTTCAAACCGAAGACTGGTATATAAAGTTTCCTTAATTTACAAACTTGATATGATATAAGACGTGATACATGTATCGCCTTTCAGATTAATTCTAGAACGACCACGAGTTGAAGAAATGTTTTAAGAAATTAAAATGATAAGAATTAGATATTTAAAATGAATTACGTGCAATGTAGCTAGAAATATGGGCTGTTATCAGAGATAAATTTCAGATAGTCTAAGAAATCTTATAAATACAATCTTTAAAACTTTCTCTTATGTCATATAGATACCATACAAGGTGAAATGGTGCAGTTAATTTTAGATTATCTTGTTCAAACCTAGAATTACGGATATAGGATACAATGATGTGTTAATAGCACTAATGACTGTTTACACAATTACAAGGTGTAATTATATGTTCTCTCCTTGAGGTGTACATCTTTAACGACTGTGATCTGGAGAGAACACTTACAACGATTGTGTTCGTCATGTTAAGAACCAACGCTCTAACAGACAGTGCTATAGAACGAAGTAATATAACAGGGAACTAGACCAAGAGTATGTACAACGGGATAATTATGTATTTTGCCACTGAACTGAAGGGCCACCTTAGTAGTTCAACAGTATGCAGACAGACAGCTGTTCGTATAACGTCCTTGTCTTTCAATAACCATTAACGATCCATTGCTGACAAAGGTTTAGAATAGACAAATGTTTCATTTTATGAGATAGGTATTCATTTTCTATTTCACCCAAATAAAATATATAACACAAATTTGTTCAACATTTTATTGTCATAAATTGATATTGCACGCAAATTATAGAACATTGTACTTGCTATGCAAAGCGTCATCGTCCACCATTCACACTACTGTCTCTTCTAGAAAGTATCAGACCATTCGAACAGGGCGTCAGCATAGTACACTTTCAATATGAACTGTACAAAGCACTCTCAGATTCATTAACAAAAATCTACATACAATATAATTATCTGATGTTGCTTTATTATAATTCTGTTCCGGGTAAGCAAGGATAGACGCTTGGCAAGAAAGTTTAGCCTAAGCGTCTTATTCTCGAAACTCCTGGCGATAAGTTTTCCAGTCATTGTAATGATTGGCATAGTTCGATTTTGATCGCACATTTAGTTTTTTGTCAAATTAAAAAATTGCCAAAAAAAATCTGGATGTCTCGGAGAATAAGACTTTGGAAAGGAAACAAAGAAGAGAACCAATAAGACAGACTCCTACATTCTGCCCCCGAGCGAAAAGTGAATCTTTAAAACATGGCCGGGTGTCATAACAGAGCAACATCCAAACAAAAACAAGTAACATGTCTACAGTTAGTCTATGTAACAAATTCAGTTAAATATCACATTAATAATTTAATTCAATTTCTGTTTTATTAACAATACTTCTGCCACCACACATATTCACCTGACAGCACTTATTCAACACATAAAGCGTCAGCTTCATTATTATGTGACTAGGACTATCCAAAAGTGAATTTGATATTATTCATTGATAGTTTTGACAGGGTAACTGGGTTTGATATTACGTTCATTACATTAATGACGTTTGGTACAAAAGTATTCATGTTATACACAAAATGTCATGACGTTCTATGCACAGAACGCTGAGTATTAAAATATGGTTCACAGAGATCACATAATACTGCAGCTTTTTACGGCTTCCTTTCGAAGTTGCGTTTTAGCGTCTGAAACACCACTAAAGCGTTTACGCCGGATAAAAGATCTTTGTTTTCGAAATTGTGGAGAGTCATTGCTTTTTGTGCCAGCAGATGATAATGCTGCTACCTCTAATACGTCACTCACACTTTTTGCTGATGTTTTGGCTGATGTTTCTGAGTAGACGAGTGCACCAATGTGCTTGGCTGTTTTGAGACCCTGAAACGAGAAAGAGATTCAATAATGAACTGTTTGCAAATCATACTAGTACATCAAATCGTGGAAATAAAAGACACACGATTGACCTCTTTGTTTTAACATTTCGTTGTTGTCAAACAATCTCATATGCAATAACAAGTTTTGAAAATATATCACACGAACAAGCAACCGATTTTGTTAATTATAGAGACTGCATTCTCTACAACATTATTTGAAACCGAAATCTTAAACACTTTCAGGGTGCAGATCAGCGTACAATAAATAGCTTTAACTTCGTACCTGATCGTACGAGACTAATTGTGGACTGGAGCTTGTGGAACTAACTGGTTTGGATTTCAACTCGTTTCTGAGATCAGTTTTACAACCAACTAACATGATTGGCTGTTTAGGACAATATTCACGAACTTCTGGTAACCACTGAAATGATTATCAAAAATAAATGGTCATTATGATAAGATGGATGACGACAAACATATAAGTACAGCATTATCCAAGTTAATGGGTCATTAACTAGAAAACTTGGTTTGTTTAAATATATCTAAAAGTGTTGTTCAAGTAAGTCAAATCTGAAAAAGAACTTCCAAGTCAAATGCGACACAATGTAACCAAAGATTTACGGGTTTCAAAAGACCAACTATTAATGCTTCTTTCAGACGTGTCTAGAAGGAAGCTGATGGGTCACTTCTAATTGATTATTAATGATTACCTTAGAAACAACGTTTTCAAGTGATTCCATATCTGTGACAGAGAAACACACCATGACTAAATCTGCCTCTGAATAGGATAATGGTCGAACTCTGTCATAACCGGCATCTCCTGAAAAATAGAAGAACAAAAGAGTTTAGTCTGAGTCTGTACTCTATATTTCTTGCAGTGTGGCATTGAAATCCTGTTATAGAGTTCTTATTATTCATCTAAAACCAATTCCAATCTAACCTTATTTTGTAAGGTATCACATAAATTTAATAATAATCTTTATAATCTTTTTTTACTATCCGCACGTATATAAATAATTATTTTGAAAAACATTCTGCGTAGATTATCGTATTCCAAACAAGCTTGGCGACTTCACTATGAAAGTATGTATGAACTAGAACAAGTACTATCATTCGGATTTCTACAGGGGTCAACTCATGGTCCCATCGTTTTCATAGCTTGTGTACACGATATTTATAACTTTGTGAACAATGTAAGTTAAATTCAATCACACCCAAAATTTATAATAATTAAAGAGTGGGGTTTGTGTAAGAAATTGAGCACATACAAAAATCTCTGCTGTATTTGTTCACTATAAAGAAATTAATTTTACGAAGAGAAGTTGGTTCAAATATGTCACAAATATATTTGAATGGATGGATTGTTGCAAGGCGTATAAAGGCTACAGAATGAATCACAGCTTTAAGTCGAAAAATGTTCAGGCCTCCGTGAATATAAAAAATAAAGTCCCCATTCAGAGATTTTGACTGATTTCAACAGTCAAGATCGGTTGATTGAAGTGTTACTTATCAAAGACAACCTTGATGGAGTGATAAAATGGCTATTGATACCGTTACAAGATCAAAAATAAGATAGGAAAGAGAAATGTTTAAAAGAAAATCCACAAATACCATTTACGTTGTGACAGGTTGCAAGCGATTGTGAATGTTACAATTTTAATAGATACAAACTTAACTCTAGTTCTAAATATTCACTGATACACTTAAGAACTATTCTAATGATAAACCATTCGAGTCTAGTTACTTCTAGTCTAGTCTCAAATTGAAGTATTTCGATTCAACCTTAGCCTCAATCTATACATCTCCCGTGGTGCACTCAATCGCATTTAGGCTATGTGCATTCACGAACCAAGATTATAAGTGGTAAAAAGGACCAACATTTCAAGAATGTCATCATAATTAGTTCAGCCATATGGCTTTGTTTTTTTACAATTAAACCAACTAATGAATAATGTAGTTTATTATTGATACTAATGAGGAGTTTACACCCAACTAGAATTTGATAAGCCAGATCAGATTTCAATACAAACTAATAACAGTATTATTAAGGTGAAGCGGTTACCATTTATTTAATGTAAGGTTAAAACCTCATATACCTCGTGACCTTTACAAGTGATTAACAGTTCACGATAACATAAGCTTTACATTGACCTGATATGACCAATTCCATGGCTCTCAACCAAACCCTTCTGAATCTGAAAACTTCCACAATAGACCAATTGCACGTATGGTTTTACAATGGGCCATGCCAACGAAGCTTAATATCAGATTATATGGCAAGATAAAGTACATGTTTCTCATTTCATATCATTGATTCATAAATTCTGCATTCAGATATTCAGAAGAATTTGACCTGAATGCTCAGCAGGGTCAGTTTTTCCCAGACAATTAACACAACATTTAAGAACTAGTAGTATGAGTAATATTTTCACAGAGGAAAACATTTATTGAAAAGCCCAAAAATATCATCTAAGTTTATAAATTGACCCTTTGATATCAAAGGGTCTTATTGGATAGCCCTGGCTCACACCATACTGGTTACAATATCAAACACAGTCACTGGAGTATATTTATTCTAAAATAGATTAAAAACTATCCAGCTAACAATGTTTGTTTGGATATCTGACATCATAAAAGCCTTCAAGGAGGTCTTTTGAACTTAAAACCAACTCGACTCTCGTTTGTCATTTAGTTACTTTCGAAATAAACATTATGAGCTATGTGGATTATCCAAAAGTAACACTCATTTGACAATCTCAATCGTAAATCGGCATCAGATGGAAAGTGGAAGTGTAATGTAATTCTGTTACATATAGAAATAAAAGTACAAATTGCATATCCCAACAAAATTCAGCCATTGTCCCGTCTTCTTTACGTTGCTAGTTAATAAGGCTAATATTTTAAGGGTATATACAAACTTTGATAATCACAGGTGTCAAATAGAAACCTTATTCAACCACTTTATTATCGTCTTTACTTTATCTGTGACATAATATTATTTGTTTATTCCTGTGTTCTACTGAGAGAGGCTTGTTTCTCATTTCCGGCACGTTTCTAATACTAATCCCCAGGCATTCCAGCTCGAAAGGTAACTGAACTTTTACGACCATTGTAAAGGGGCACACATTTCGTAGTCTGGAAGTTTTGATTAAGCAATAGTAATATGGTTGCTTAATTAAACGTCACTAGGGTGCATATTGAATGATTTATGAAATAAAAGTTTAGAGCACTAATATTATCTAAATCTTAAATGGACCTCCGATTTTAATAAAATTCTGAACGGTCTAAACCATGACAAAGTAAATCAACCAGTGACAGAATAATAGTTTTAACCTGATGTAATTTTTCTATTGAACCCAGAGCAATTATTCGTATAAATATCCCGAATCGGAAATATCACCGTCACATAATTACAGACTCCTAATACAAACAGGCTACCCTATCTATAATAATAGGTTAAATATAGAAATATAGTAACATATTAAAACTGTCTCGACCTAAACATGAAGTGAAAAATCAGTGAATGTGACGTATTCATTACATATAAAGAGTGAGACAGCGTATTGGGATAATATCTAAATTATAGGAAACAATTGATTGAAAATCATAGGATACACAGCATGAGGTCTTTCATCACCGACTAGATAGAGATAACTGAAAATAAACCGCAGGGTTAAATGGACTAAACGTAATTTATTCATTGAAAAAAGTTATTGTTCTTTGTTGAAAGAATTGGGTCAAATGAACACCACTGACAAACCAGTTGTTAACGTTATGTCAACCGAACAGATGATTATAATTTATGATCCCAGTCAATTGGATTTTAAAGCAATTTGTACTGATTTAAGAGTCAGTAAGATTAAATTAAAAGTACATGGAGCAACTGTGTTAAAGTGGGTTCGACCTCTTTAGCACCGATTCCTTGAATCGTAACAAAGGTTCCAAGGCAGGCTTAGTTGGGCAAGACAATGTTATATACTGCTTTCTATAAAACATTTGGCTGCATGTTGTTCAGCGGCATGGTAGTCAGCATTGAGAAAGTAGGTGTCCTTTGATATGGTTTCGGATACAAATGTTTCGAGGATATTTTGGCATTTCGCCATTTTGTATGTGAGGTATGTCTCCGTTTGCTTAATTGAGGTCATTCGGAACACATTTTAAGAATCCTTGTTTAAACGCTATAGACATGCGATGAATATAGTGGCGTCGCCGTTTATATTTCTGACGGCTAACAATCTAACAATTTGATTTATTTCCAATTCATGCAATGAATGTGATAGATTATCACAAATTATTCAGTTTTTATTCAATCAACATCTATATTTATAAATAAATCATAATAGACAGACATGACATGTGTTATAATGGATTGATTCGTCTGGAGAGTATGGAGATACACTTGCTCCATCTCTCATACCATTTATATTTTATTCAAAGCAGTGTACACATTTTATAACTCAGACACCTGTCATGTTGTATAATCCTGTCATGAAACAAAGGACTGCTCGATAATGATACATATAATTGCAGGATTTTACAAGATGTAGTCAATCCCTTGCAGAGTTAACCCCAGATCCAAGGTTATAATCTGAATCTCGATCGTGTTTTCTCCATGATGTGTTATTATATATCTTTATTTGCAACACTTTAAACCATTTCTGGTCAAAGGCAATACCTAATTAGCCATCGTATGGATCGTGTCCTCTGGATGGTGGTGTAGACGAGATCATGTTTGAAACACGAGCTTAATTAGTAATTACTGCTGTAATATGTAATCTAATAAGACTGTTTTGAAAGTTCTGTGATCCGAGTAATGCTAAGTTGAGATGTTACCTGTCTTTAATTGGACTCTACCACTGACATGCGTTATATTCCCCACGTGTAATGAGATTGGTAAACAACCTATTATAAGATTATTGGACGTTCAGATATCTTAAGACGTGTTTTCAGAAACTACGAAATCCGAATATTCAGCTTGTGATTAAGATAATGCCTTTGGATACAGAGATAATGTACCAAAAAAAGGTTTCGGTTCTTAGGATTAGACAGTAAACTGGGAACAGATCCTCGACAGTAGGAAATTGAAAAAGGACAGGTTGTTGATTTGTATTATCAAAATTTTAAATAACGCCTAAGTGATCTTATATATTTGAAAGCTGCGTTCTTGATCCAGGCTAAATTTAATAAGGTTATCAGAAGCCGATCTTGGATAAGATTTCAACTTTGTATAACGTTACGAACTATTGTTGTCTGGTCAATATTGTTATGGACAATGGTCAGTGTGTTGGTTATTTTAGTGGTAAAATGTGACGATATCTAGTTTCTGATAACATCTATATAGCTGATCTGATGAATTCACAATTGTTCCTATATATTAGATCTTTCTCTATCAATGCTAGTTTAGGCTGACGTCCGACTATTTATTTCACAGGACAAATCTGTTGAAAATGTTTGAAATACTGATACAATTGTCAAAAACGTAAATTCAATTAGTTTAGAATTGTTTGCCAATGCATGTGTTCTCCCATCCCCTGTACCTGGCTCGATAAAGTCTTCTTATCCTGCGATGAAAAGTTAAAAATGAAAGAAATCATGAAATTACTTATATAATTTCAAATTAATTTCTTCCTCCATCATTGAATTGCTTATTAAAAAGGTTAACGTTCCATACAGCAAAACAAATACTAGTTAAAAATAGGCCCCAATTGTGGGTTATTTATTGTTTTTTCAGTAGTATCAGTTCATAATAAACCCAACCACAATCATTTACCTCCTTACCTGACTATTCTAACTATTCTACTGTGTTTTATGTATATTTTT